GTCTCGGCCGATATCACGATCGTCCCGGCCGATCAGTTCAAATCAGAGGAAAATCGTCCAAAGCATCGCCCTGAAATACTAGCTGTGCCGATATTTATCGTCCTGAAGGTAATTCTTGGTTTTGAATATACGTCCGGCCATTCTTCGTCAATCTCAGGTGATATGTATCGATCAATTCATCCGTTATTATTACTCCTCTTGATTTCCTAATCAATTAAGGCATAATTTGTTAATATCATCTCAGTGTCCGATCAACTGATCGTCCTAGCGATAATTTAAAAATACAGTATACCTTAATTGTCCTATGGCGGCAATTTCTTTCTATTTTGAGCCTTATCGTCTGGCCGATACACGTATTGTCCACAGGTCGATTGTTTAAATGATGGCTGCCTTAATTAAGAATCCTTATTTAGTCTTTCTGTTTTAAGCCTGATCGTCCAGAACGATGTAAATATCGTCCTGGCCGATATGAGTAAAAATAGAAATTCTAAGTCTCTCAAGTGTGTGTGTGAAGGGTTACTTAGCATCAGTCTCTTTGACCATTACAAATAAACTAAAGAAGAGAAAAAACAAAAGTACAGACTGACTCAACCCTAAACCTACGCAATCCTGAACTAGCTTCGTCTGTTCGTCTGATCTTTGATTCCTGAAAAGTTAGAAGCAACATGCAGTCCAAGAGAATCAATAGTGTTTGTCAATCATCAAAACCTAAGTCATGAAAATAGATTTGCAACACATTTTAGCAGCGACTGATTACTTTTCAATGTGGGCAGAAGCTGTCCAGTCCCACTAAGAAATATAACATCACACTATGTAATGAAATTCTTCCGTGACCATATCGTATATAGATTCGGCGTACCCAGCATAATCATATCGGATAATGGGTTCGCATTCAAGTCTATAAAGATTAATAATTTTTTCAAATCGCCATGGTATCAATTGGAGATACTCAACAATCTATTACTCACAGGCTAATAGATTGGCTGAGACCTTCAATAAAACCTTGGTTCAATTCATCAAAAAGACCCTCAATGACAATAAACGTTAGTGGGATGAGAGGTTGGTGGAAGCTTTGTGGGCCTACAGGACCACTTATCGAACCCCAACCCAATCCACATCATTTGCGCTAGTGTATAGATCTGAGGCCGTACTTCCTTTAGAAGTTCAAATCCCTTCACTCAGAATTGCAATCCAAAACCAAATCACAACTCAACAGAATGCTCAACTCCGTCTAGAAGAACTTGAAAGCCTTGAAGGACATCATCTTCAAGCTCAGCAAAATCTAGAATTGTACAAAGCCCGAATGATTCAAGCTCACGATAAGTTAGTGCGACCTAGAACCTTCCAAGTAGGCGACTTGGTCTTGGTTCTTCGGAGGCCTATCTTAGCGCATCGAAAGCTCGGTGGAAAGTTTGAACCAACTTGGGAAGGACCCTTCGTAATGGAAACAGCCTACGAAGGAGGCTCGTATCAGCTAGTGGATTGTAAAGGAAATCACCCAATGCTTCCTGTAAACCGGCGTTTCCTTAAGAGATACTATGCTTGATGTAGCTCGAAGTTTCAATCAATAAAAATTTTAAATTGTCAATCAAGTTCACTCAATGTCATTCAAATCTTTTTGAATTTTTATACACTGTGTTTCTTTTCTCAAAGCTAACATGTGAACTATCATGTCTTCTTGCTTTAAATTTAATCCTCTTAGTGGTGGAGCACGCCCTTCGTGACACCATCCTAAAATTCAAATATCGATCCCGATCTTATATAGAGCAAGTTTCCTCTATATACAATCGTTCAAACTTGATGTTCTGTGCAAAGCAAGTTTCCTTTGCACATAATCAATCCAGACCAGATCATCCGTAGGGCAAATTTCATCTACCCGTGATCATTTTAATCTTGATCTTATATGGAGCAAGTTTCCTCTATATACGATCATCCAAACCTGATCCTCTGTGTAAATCCAGTTTCCTTTAGACATGATTGATCCTGACCTGATCACCCGTAGAGCAAATTTCCTCTACCCATGATCATTTCAATCCTGATCCTCTATATAGAGCAAGTTTCCTCTATATACAATCGTTCAAACCTGATCTTATGTATAAAGCAAGTTTTCTTTACATACGATCAATCCAGATCTGATCTTTCATGAGAAGCAAAGCTTCCTTCCCATAAGATCTTTAATTATCTCTTTCTTTAAGGACAGATGTGAGTCATCGTGCTTTCTGTCCTTAGGATTAGATCCACTAATGGTAGAGTACGTCCCTCGTGGCACTACCCTAGTATCGAATTTCAAATTCAATCCAAATCCTTCCTTTATATACGATCACCCAGATCTTCTTCTCCCTAGGGATAGATTTTGTCTACCCTTAAGATCAAAATTCCATGCTTGACCTCCTTCGCTCAACGACAATATGTGCAATAGAATTTCATTCTATTACACATATTGGAGGTCCATTTGTTGACCTCATTTTTGTATGAGGTCATTAAGGATCCATCCAGATTCCAGATCAATCCTGACTCCAAGTTAATCCAGATCTAAATTCAATTCAAGCCTCAATAAAAATACAAAATCCAACCCAGTTCAGAACTCAGACTCCAGTTCAGATATTGATCCTACCTATGAGTTATCTATGATCCTATCCAATCATTAATGATCATCCAAATGATTATAGATGATTTGGATACTCAAAATTAATCAATCAAACTCAAAATCTAGATCAAATCCAAAATCTAGATTCAAATCCAAAGTCCAAAAGCCTTGTCCTAAAGGCCTTTTCCAGTGAATTTTCAAACACTTTGAAACCCAGCCTAGTGGCCTCTGATTCAGAGTCTGTCAGTTGCATACTGATGGTACATGTCTCTAGAGGCTACCCTCAAAATTTGAGTCCATTCTGAGGTCTATAACCTTATAATCTAAATCAAAATTCAAAGGCTATAAAACCTTCAAATATTTACAGCCCATGCCATTGGACTTGCCATTAAGAAGATTTTGACCTTAGAGCTTTCTCCAAAGCCTCTAATCACCTCCAGACCCTTAAACTACACTTTGGTAGACACAATCTGGCCCCTAGTAGGCCATGGATCAAAATGACCAAAATGCCCTTTAAGGGCAATTTTGAAGTTTTTCAAAGACTTCAACATACCTTTTCAAATCAAATCACATAACCTCTTCCAATGCATCCTAATCACCCTTTGGAGTGCATTAGAATCAAGATCTGACCCTGGTCAAGCCTTTTTGACCAGATCGACCTTTTTGACCAAAATGCCCCTAAAGGATTCAAATGTTGATTTCAAACCAAACGACCTCCAAATTGAATGTAACCACCTCCAAAAAGTTTCAAATATCAAACTAAACCTGTTGGACCCATTCCTTGGTCCTGGGTCAACCTGGTTGACCAAGTCAACCTAGTTGACCTAAGAGGCCCTTTAATGGTCCAAATAGGTGTTTTGACCCAAATGACCTCTTTGAGCCATGTAACCACTTCTATTAGTCTCCAAATGTCATTTCAAACTTGCTGAGCCTAATCCCAGCCCCTGGGTCAACCTGGTTGACTAGATCAACTAGGATCGACCCAAATGACCCTTAATGGGCCCAATAAAGCACATTTAGCCAAATCAAACCCTACAAACTGTGGGACCACACCCAATAGACTCTAAATGTCATTTCAATTTGATTGAACCCATTTACAGACCCTGGACCCGCCTGGTTGAGCAAGTCAACCAATTTTGGTTTAAAGGCCCATTAAGGGCCCAATAGGCTCATTTCACCCAAATGACCTATTTAAACCCTGGAATCACCTATACCAGACTTCAAATACTGTATCAAACCTTCCCAGCCTAGACCCACACCTTGGGTCAACCTGGTTGACCCAGTTAACCTAGTTTGACCAAACCAACCCTTAAGCCCTTCCACTTTGAATTAAATCCCAAATGCACACAGGTCTTTGTCAAACCCTCTCCAGGCTTTTTAATCAATCCCCTAAATGACCTTGGCTGCCACCTCACCTTTTGTTGACCAGTTGACTGGTCAACATGGTCAATAAGGCTATGTAAGAGGCTTAAATCCTCAAATGGGCTTGACCCAAGCTAGCCCATCCCATATTAAATAATTCTAGCAATTCCAAAATACTTCTCACCTACCACCTCAGCATCCCTGGACCCATTGACTGGTCAAACAATCAATGGGTGGTCAAATGATCCCCTTAAGAACCTTAATTAACCCCTTAAAATTAATCCTCCCTAATCTAAACATTTCCAGCTGTTAAGACATCCTCTGGAAGCTTCCTAGAACTCATCACAACCCTTCGATGGAGATCTAACGATCCTTATCAATTCTACATGCTTGCATTAGGACAAAGGACATTCTTCATCATGGCATGTCCTTTGATTCCCTGCTCCTAGCCACTCTTGGGACATATATTAACATCACAGCAACTCCCTTAGATGATCATGGCCATCCATATAATTTAAAGCTAAGTAGATAGAAAAAAATATCTTAATAAAGGATATACTAAATTAAACCCATGGATTAATCCATCCAGAGCTCTTCCAGCCCCTGATTATCATCCTAGAGTTTTTTTAGTAAGTCCTATAGCCTTCCCAAGCTTTTCCCCACAAAAGAAAAGCCTTTAAAACATATTTTAGTGAAGAGAGAGGATCTAGAGAGAGAATCAGGTATTTCAATCCTAACTTCCAATCCAGACTAATCCAGCTCTTGGAGTCTTCACCAAAGTTGAAGAGGACATCTTCATCTTTCCTACAAGCCCAAGAAGTCAAAAATCCATCAACTAGATTGTAAGTTATTTATATTTTAAGTTTAAATTTAAAATTGAAACTGTAGCAAATCTACAATGCATGGAGCCCTCAAATTCCATACATTGGAAGATTATGTTACCATCTATCTATGTTTCAATTTTCATCAATTTTGGTTTAGTATTTTATAAGTTATAAGAATTTAAATATTTACTGTTTCGGCCGATCTGGACCGTCCGATTGATCATCAGATGGTCCATATCAGATCTGGAACCCGCTCGTTCCACCTGGGATTCGAACCCGGGTCTTCTGGCCAGACCACGTGGGCGACGTGGCGCCATATGGGCGCTCGGATCAGACCCCGTCTGATCTGATTGGACGGCTGCTATCCTTGCCAACGTGGTTAAGTGACCACGCAGAGTCACGCCACGTGTCCAGGCTGCGGCGCAGTGCCACCGTCCAGCCAATCATTGCCAATGATTGGTTTGGCGGCGCTGGCGGCCCGATTTGACTAAAATGACTTTAAAAATCATTTAAATGCCCATAAACTTTTAAAATTCATTGTAAATCCAGTTTTTCAGCAAAATTAGTGTTCTAGGGCTTGTTGGAAAGCTCTTGAGCTCTAGTATTTATTAAAATTAAATTTAAGTTATTTTGATCACTTTATTAGAAGATATTTATGTTTGTATAAAATAAAATTTTCTCACAATTCAGTGGTCAACTAGAGTTCAAATTTTGGTGAAACAATCTTGGACATCTTGGGCATTACCTGTAATTTTCTTAGGTCATGATGTCTAGTGGATTGCCATGGGGTGAATTTACAAAGTATTGGGTCCATTTTGGACCAAAAACTTTAAAAATTCATAACTCTCCAAATTAGTAGAATTAGGCTTCCTAATTTCTGTGGTGTGTTTTTTTATGTATAAGGGTTAGATGAATAGAGATTTAGACCCAATTAAATACTAGTGCCACCTAGGAACAACAATTAAGGACAAGGTCTAGACAACTTAGAAAAATCCTAAGAAATTCTACACACACCCAATAGGGATGAAACTTGAGAACATTAAATATAGTGACATTTTAAACCTCAGGTTCAAATTTCACTCAACTTGGAGCTTATTAGGTCAGAAATTTGAACATGTTAATATTAACCCTTAAGCCTTTAAGACTTCCAAAAAATGTAGTAAATCAAGATTAAACCTAAAAAATACAAACAATATATCAAATTGACCAGAATTCAAACCTTAATCAATGAAAATTAAAATCCCCTTGATTTGATAGCAATTCCATAATTAATTTAATTTTAATTGAAAACTAATATTTAATTAAAATTAATTAATAAATAATAATTTAAAATTCCAAAAATTTTCCAAACACTTGGGAATCTCCTTTTAGGTCATTTCTGACCTTTGGGGTTGATTTCAAGAGGTTTGGACCTTATTTGAATCAAAATCACAAAAAGGCTTTTAATTAAAGATTTTTTCAATAATTCAATAAATACCTGAAACTTTGAATCTTCATAACTAATTCTAGAAAACTCCAAATTGACCAAACTCAAAGGCATTCAACTCAAAATCAAGTCTAGTATTTATTAAAAATTTCAAACCTTCCAAAATTAGTCAAAATAAAAAAGTCAACAAATTGGTCAAACCTAGTTCAAATCAAGTCAAATCTTCGAACCTTCATAACTAATTGTAGAAAAATATAATTTCAGCGTACTTACAATCTAACAGATTTTATTAAGGTTTAGTATTTTAATAAAATATTAACTTTCTAAAAATACTCTTAATTGAAAAGTCAACTTTTGACCCCTTAATTAAAGGATTAAAATAATCTAGAAGATTCCCAAAACTCAAAAATCACTTTAAAACTCTAGAAATGTTTATTCAACCTTAAAATTTTCAATCAACCATGCAGTTGAAATCAATCTTAAAATTAATTTCAAATCATTAATATTTAAACACAAATTTAAATCTTCCCTTAAACCATTCAACCAATCGGAAGTGTAAACAACTTTAAAAATTGTCCTCCATAGGACATATCCAAACCACACGGCCTACCTCACATATTTTAGATGGTTTATTAGGACAAGCAACTCAAGTTTTAGGCTAGACCGGTGTTTATTTTTTTGCTGTGTGCCTGGTTTTCGAGCTTTCATTGCATGCTAGTTGCTAGCATAGAATTGATGTGTTTGTTTACTTACTTTTTTGCACTCTGTGTTGTGAGTAATTAAGCATTTTAAATTTCAAATATTAACTGCTTGAGATTGATTATAACTATTTGAGATTGAATATTAACTGCTTGATATTTTATATAAATGCTAATTATTAGGATAACCTTGCAGGACTGGGTCTAGATTTTTCTATTTTAAATTAATATAAATTTGATTGAATAAGGTTGTAAACTATTGAAATGATTTGAGATTGGGATATTTTATCCAATTTGAATTCCAAAGAGGTGAAGACATCCCTAAAGGGGAAAGTCTTCTTCCATTTGGAAGTCAAATTAGGATACCTTTCAAATATCCAAAGAGGAAAGATAACACCCCGATCAAGGGGGAGTTTCTTTTCATTTAGATATTCGGAACTAATGAATCAAGATGTTCGTGAGAAGACGAAGAAATGGGCGACGAGAAGAATCCCAAATCTCAAAAACATTTGAATCTTATGATAGAATCTGGGTTGTTGTCAGTGGTGCCCGGCCACTTTAATTTTTTGCAAAATTTTGTGATATAATAATAAGAGGCACTTGCCTACGGACATTCAATTTGATATATTTAATTTGATTGATTTGTTTAAAATTGATTGCGTATTAGAACCGTATGTTTTTCTAGTCTTTTTACTTGCATGCCTGCATTTGATTTAGTATGGAATCCAACTATAGGCTCTTAGGGGTTTGTCAAAATTTTCTACTTTAATTAAATAAAAATTTTAAGATAAGATAAAAACTCTAAATGGTCTTAAGAAGTAAGCTCGGACTCGCCGAGGGTTTTTCATGCATCATATTGAACCTTCTCTACCTTGTTAGGCATTTCCTTGCCTGCGGGTTCTGGTAGACCACCTGTCCTATAAGGGTGATGATCTGTCAAGGGAATGTTATGCAATCTCTAGGGAAAAACCTATTTTCTAAGCCAAAAACTTTTAAAATTGCTACCTACTGATTTATGCATTCAATCGAGTCGATTAGTATGCATCACATTAGTAACAAATTAAAATCGAGTCTAATATTTAATTGCAATTATTTAGACATCAAATACCCAAAATAAGTCTAAGGGGCCAATTAGGATATGCTCTAGATGTCGGTCCCGTTCTCAAATACCTTTCTTAAATAACGTCCCTACCACTCAATATTAAAAGACCAGATACATATTTTTAAAAAAAAGCGCTTAGGTGGTTTAGCTGGCTCCCTAATCCAGGCCGGGGTAAGACAGAATTTGCACTGCATTAGCTAGGTTCGGGTCACTTTTCAGTACCCAATTTAGACTTAAGTTTCGAGGCGAGCTCGGGCTATAAGACCTCAACTTCCGGGAATTGAATCTCGACTTTCTAATAAAGTTGACCATTCAAACTTCCACCACTTTCAATCAAATTTAAGCCCAACACTTAGGATAGACTGGGGTGTTTCTGAAGTAATTCGGAATCTCAAAACACTCCATACTCCTCTTCTTTTGACTCCAGAAATAGCTATTCAACGTCGTTCCAATCCCAATTGAAAATTCCTACCCTTTTCCTCCTTTGATATCGATCTTTGAAATTCTTAAATAAAATTTATACCGCTATTTTAATAGAGTGATTCGTAGGAAATTTCTGTTTCCTACGATGTAATTAACTATGAGGGCTTACGATCGTAGGAAATTTAGAAACCCAGACCAGATTTTTAAAATTAAAATTTTCAAAACTTCAATCAATTATCTTTGGAAATTCAAACAAAAATTGCAATCATTATTTTTGTATTCGAATAATAGGCAATGAATGATATTTTTCTTCCTTCAGGGAGATATATCAGTCATTGATATGAATTCGAGTATGAAATTAGTTATCCTACATTTCGATTATCATAGCTAAATATTTGATTGAACACCATTTTGATCCTTCGGGATCATACGTAGTTCTCTCTCAAAATTTGGCTATGATATTCGTGATTAAATTTTTAATTATAAATCTAAACTCATTAAGGGATTTTATTTTCACCTTTCGAGGTGATATATTATCACTAATGGATGTTTGATTTTATAATTAAAATTCAAATATCAATTTTGAATTATTTCCAAAGAAAATTGCACATTTTCAAAATTACACATTTCAATCCAACATGCATCATCATATAATTTTTTTGGGAAAAATTTTCTAAAACACTTGAAGATAATTAATATAATACCACCACTTAATCTCCTTATCCTACGAGCCACCACTTGGAGCAGCCTCTCAATATGCAAATTCATCTCAACAACATATTTCAAACAACCTTCCACCATTAGGATCGTCCATCATTACTCTATAAATACAATGTAATAGAGCAATATTGAAATTAAGGAAATTTATCGTCTTTCACTTCTCATTTGCTCCAACAAACAAAGCCTCAGCTTTGTAAAATAACTCAATATGATATTAGAGCTACTCATATGATAATGCCCAACAATGATTCACAACGAATGGAGCACTTGGCTTTTTTTTTTTCCCTATCTGATACCATTGCATCTCTTAAAATATTTGATGCGACTAATTACCCATCCTCCCTTAAATTTCTCCTCACAAACCACAAACAGAGTGTCAACATTCAATCAACCAATGATAATTACCAACATGAAAATATCAAAAGCTTTGGCTCTTGAAGGCAAATGGATATGAGGGATTTCTCAATGGCTCTATCACTCTCCCTGAAAAAAACCAAGTGCTGAAGCCACCAATCAATTCATCCCAAATCCCACATATAATGTTTGGAACCTTATTATAGACGAAAATTTTGTTGTAGCCATTTTCTCCACCATCACCACATCCATTCTTTCATATGAGATGTGGTTTGTTATCAAACATCGCTTCAATTCACAAACCGCTCTCAAGAGATCCAACTCAAGAATGAGCTACACAATATATGCATGTGAAATCAAACCATACATAAATACCACACTCATATCAAGACACTTATTGATAATGTTGCAGTTGCTAAATCAACCATTGATAATGAGAACATATTTATATACATTGAATGGCTTACCTTCATCTTATAAGGCTTTAGGATAGCCGTTAGAATTTAGAACCAAACTCAATGTCCATAAATCTCAATGACCTCTAATCCTCGTTGTTCAATGAGGAAATCAACCTCACAAATTAAATCAACAAAAATAATTCCCAACTCCTCACATAGCTTTAGCCATATATCATTATCATGATCGAGGCACATTATCCTCCGGATAAGGTCCGGATGCAAAACCACTGCTTCTTCCAAGCAAGCCTTGAAATAAAAAATGGGAAGAAAGTCTACAAATCCAACTATCTGTCAAACTTGCAGAAAAAGTGGACATTCAACATTCCAATTGTTGTAATCAACTTGAAGCATAATATACCCCACAACAAAAATCTACCTATTGCTCTGATAGCACTGCTCACCTTTAATAACTCTAACTCCTTTGCTTTGGGTTACACCAACCACATTATACCCCACATGACCTTCTTTAGCATCCTATATACCACATAAGGATTACCAAAACTTTGTTGGCAACAACATTGTAACAATCCCAAGATACAAAACTTATTTTTAAATGAAAAATATGAAGTTTTTGAAGTTTTGATTGAACTAGAGCACTTTGGTGTTGTACATGTGAGCGCTGCAACGTTAGGGACGAAAGCATTATCGCGTCATAAACCAACACTGCGACACTGGTGTTTCTATTTTATAATAAATATGATTTTTGCATGCGGAGGTACGACGCTAGATTTGAACATTATGATATTAAGACACTAAAAATATCTTTTAATAATTTTTCCTTAAATTCACCCCACAGCCTACCTCACCCTTCATTTAACGTTGCATGGTATGGAAGAAATCAAAGGAGAACACTACAGAAAAAATGTTATTTTTAGGCAGCCATTTTCACCAGAAAATGAATAAAATATGTCGATAATTTATACTTTTGGAAAATTTTCGACGATAATTCACACAACAGAAACAAATACCATCGAAAAAATTCTGCCGAAAATTGCTTAGAAAAAAAAATTTTGTAGCCTGAATGGGCCAGTGAACTCGCCTGCTATCACCGTGGGCTCGTGAACCCGCCTGAACTCTACGTGCCCGTGAACTGGAACCTGCGCGAACTCTATGAATAACCCCTTTATCCAATGAGTTGCGATGCATATTACGTTGTTTTAGCTTCATTTTTTTACTTAAATTATACTTAATAATCATTTTTAATGTGTAATATGTTCATATTATTTAATCTATTTAACAATATCAATTTTTATAAGCTTTTATCGAGTAACTTTTGATATGTTATAGATTTGATTATTTTACATAATATAATATTATTTTCTTGCATTTTCACTTGTTAAATATGCATATATAAATTTTTCTGTAAAAATGGATAGTGAAAGGTAAACTAAAAATGGGTTGTAATGTGATGCACTACGAGTTGATATGACAATCTGAAATGTATTATGAGGAACCCTGCCGTAATTGGCTTTATCAAATACTGAATTCCCTTTCATCCATTGCTCCCCATCAAGCTGCTTCCTCCTCTTCACCTATACTGACTTAGCTACCTATAAAATCCACCGCCAACCAGTGGTACCCCCACCTTGGCCTCCCTAATGCAAAGACTCTCTAAATCATCTCCAAGCAACAAAATTATTTATGCATTACCCTATTTGTATCTTTTTGTAGTTTTTGTAAGGCCGCCAAAAGCCACCATTAGCAATTTCTATCACCTGTGATCAGTCATGATTACAAACTAATTGAGTTAATTCATTCCAACATATGTGGTCCTTCCCGAAATCCATTTGCATAATTTTTTTTTTTGGCTATACATGGCTTCTTCTAATGTTTCACAAAACTAAATCTACCCAAAATTTTATCAAATTCAGGCAACTCGTTAAAAACAAAGTCAATACTCATATTAAAATCTTATTCTCAAACATTGGAGGAAAATGCATTAACCACAAACACTACAGGAAAAATTGTTATTTCCGATGGCATTTCGGACAAGTGTAAGTCCACAAAAAATATCGGCAGATAGACTGGTGGCATTTTCACTGGAAATATTCCAGAGGCTTTTCCTGCAGATATATCTACGACAGTTTTTCAGCTGCCTATCCGTCGATCAAGCAGCTGTTTATTTTAAGCCAACGATATTTTCCAATGGAAATTGTGTCAGAAATGTTCTGGCGAAACTATCGACAGAAACCTGACGTCTTCTTTTTGGCGGAATAGCCTCCGGAAAGATTTCAAATGGAAAATTCGCTAGTTATTCCACCGGAGGATGCCCTATTTCCAATTGTTCGCAGTTATCTGCTAGTAATTTCTTCCTTCCTCCCATTTGATGCTCTTGTTCGCGTGAGTCGTCTCTTGTGGTTCACTGCTCCCGTTCAAAGTTATCTGTTAGTGCTATTTGTCGCCTCATCGTAGCATAGCTATCATCCGTCGTTCGCCGCCTCGTCGTGATATAGTCGTTCGCTGTCTCCTCTACGATTTTGTGGTATTTCGATATGTTTTTTGTCATTTTATTTTGTGATATAAATGTACCCCTTAAACTTAAGGGATAAGATGATTATGGGACCTTTAATGCTTTATGGTGTAGAATATTGACCATTAAAATAGAAGCGTATAACACTGCATAATACTTTTTTTTGATAAAATTTCTTATTACATATAGCATTATTATTTCTGTTCGAAGTTGAAATGTGCACTTGTATATGTATATTTTGTAAAATTGTTGTGTTGTAGAATATTTAAGAGGACTGTTTTTTTTTTTTTTTTTTTGTTTCTGGGACAAATTTCTGGCTGATTATCCACCAGCAACTATTAGACAACAAATTGTTGCAATGTTTCCAGCAGAACATTACCACCGGATGTTTTGGCGACCACTCTGTTGATGATACCTGCAGGTCAGCTTTGTGGAAATAATCGGTAGCTATATTCCACCATAAATTCCAGCAAAAATCCTGCCCATGAGCCATAATGCCCAACAAATGTATGCCTTTTTAAAAGGATCATCTATGGTCCTTCTCGCCAATCATTCACTCCTTTCAAACCATTTGCAATATTTTAGATTTCAATTCAACCATGATGATCTGCCATTGATACACTACCAAGTCGACATCAATAATAACAATATCCTTGTAATATAAAATTATCAACAAACTATCCTGGAAGTCTCCAAGGCCTACAACAAATATTTTACAGGAATGGGCTCTCCCCAATATGCTATTGATTTGAAAAAAGCACATGAATGCCATATTGAGCTACAACATAATATGTTATTTAATGATACATAGTCAAATAATATATTTTACTTCAATGACAATTATAAATTCATAGCTGACCCTATGCAAATTATGTGTAGCATCAATCACAATAACTTGTGAGAAATCCACCTTCGAAACATGGCTAAACATTCCTTAGCCTTAAATACTGGAGCCATGTGACCAGCACCCTATATATAAGATAAAAAAATAATCAAGTCAAGCTTAACATGTTAACTACAAGTAAAAAGCTAAGAGCATCAAATCTGAAAAGCTTACCTTAACAGTCGCAAAGGTCAGATTATTGGAGTAGGATTCAGTGTATCTATGAAGTCAATGAGAGAAAAATGAGTTATCATTATGTGCTATTATAAATAAATTAAAAATAAATTCATACGTTCCTCCAAAATTAATAACGAATATAATTTTTTTTTTTAAATATTATTTCCCCATTATTAACGAGAATGTAATTAAGAACTTACCCAGCAACTTGACCACCCACATGCCATGATCTCCACCGATCAGTGATGGAGAATTTAAGGGATTTTACCCACTCCTTTGTGCCAACAAAAGGGAAAATCATGTCATGATCACCGCTGTGCAGCGAAACAAATTAAATTTTTTGAGAAATTTACATATATACCACTTTATAATATCATATTTACATATCTAATAACTAAAACTTTAATATTACATGCATAACACCCTATATTATTTTAATATCAAATATACCATTTATATTTCTTTCCTACCACTCATATATTTCATTTCTACCACTCATATTTGATATGAAAATGAACTATTGGTGGTATGTATGTAATATTAAAGTTTTAAGTGATAAATATGTAAATAGAGTAGAATAAGGTGTTATGTATGTAAATCCCTATAAAGATTTTAAGGTTTTATATTTCTTGTCCAAGTTGTTTCATGCAAACATAATAATCATTTCATTCACTTAAGCTTCTTTTGGAATAACTTTCTTCCCACTTTGCTTTTTTGTTTTGTTTCCTCATTGTTATTTTACAGTTCTAAGAAGTTACTTTCTACAATCCGATCGTGAATTGGTATTTTAAAAATTTATTTTAGCAAAGCACAACAAATCTTAAAACCAAATCACCACAAAAATTAAAGTGCAAAAATAAATAAACACGGAAGTAAAACAAAGAGAGATCACATCGGATTTATAGTGGTTCGGTCAATCCTTGACCTACGTCTACTCCTCGGAGGCACCCTCCCAGTTTTGCACTAACTAAGTGTCTCTCCTTTAGCTCCCATAGCTAGGTCGAGAAACCTTTACAATAGACTCCTTTTCACCAACCCCGGTGCAGCAGAGAACCGACTCCTTTACAAATAAATTAAAAAACTATTCCAAATGAAGTCTTAAGCTTTATTTTGGGCATTTTTTTTTCTTTTTAAAAATTTTTTTTCAGTAGACTAGAAATTTTTGTAATAGAAAGCTACTTTAGAAAGTAGTAAGAAAGCTATCCAAATGAAACCTTAACCAACTCTATGTAAATAATTGTTAGGATTACTGTGTTCAAAGACACTTAAGTAGAGCTAGATAAATGAATATTCAAACCCAATTTCAGCTTAAAAATTTAAAACTTAAATGCGAGAGATAATTATTTCATATTTTTAGTATTTAATAAGCCCTAAATTCAAAATCTTATACCTTTTTGACATTGAGAGCCTCTTGAACAATGTTGCTGTTTGCCCATATATACATGAGATAATAATCATATGTCTGCAGCCATATTTGTAGTCAGTGTACCACCCAATAATTTATTAAGACTTAATTGTAAGAGAAACTCTTCTTCCACAGCCTTAATTAATCATAGAAAAAAAATATCAAATAAGGAAAATCAATTACTCTGCACTTGAGTTCAGGGATTGGAGGCCCGAAAAGAACTGTGTTGCTCTCCTGTACGTTCATAGACCTTCTGGTACCAACAGTGTATTTAGGATTGGGTGCATCCAAACTGCATTTGGGCTCCAAAATTTGTTCGTCCCAAAGCTCAGACTTGAACTGCATATGCATCTTCGATGAGTAGACCAGAAATTATTAAGTGAGATGGCCAAGATATCTTTACCCAGCCAATCTCGAGCCTTTACGTTTTGATACAGAAGCTGATCACTACTTTAATCAGAACTACAACTTGGAATTAATTACCCAGTTCTTTTAGATCTATGTTTAAGTTTGTAAAATCATGCATTTCAGCAACAAAAGTTACAAAATAAAAAATGCAGAATACTAAAGGAAGAAAAGAATATCTCTTAACCAAATCATCTGAAGAGCAAAGGGGAGAGAGAGATGATTGTATGGATGCTTACGTTGTCAAAGATTTGAAGAAGAGAGGCACATGGAGAACTCTTTGGATTCTTGTAATCTTCCCCTTTGCAATTCTCATCAATTCTCTGAAATGGAATCAAGATTCAGAGAGGGAGTGAGAGAATTTAGAAAAGCTTTCAAATAGAATATCACCTGATATAGTTCGTCTGAAATAATCCCCATTCCGAAGGCAAATGGCACCCTAGCATTAAAATCAATCAACTCACCTGTCATTGGGTTACCAATCATATAGCCCTGCAGATATGAATTCATACAAATATGGCATTCAATTAATAGTGCAGGTTATCATCTTTATGACGGAGAGAAAAAATACATTAATAGATAGTGTTTTCTTTTAAGATACAGCTGCATGTTTAACTAAATTTTTTTTGCAATCAGTGATAGTTAGACCTAATAATAAATCAATGTATAAAAAGTTCACTGCTCATCAGGGTATTTAAGGGTGACCTGAATATTAAACTTTGGCTGCTGCTCCATGTCATTTTCTGCGGTTCAAAATGGTCAAGGAATTGACAGAGTAATTACTAAACCCTAAAGATTTAAAAATTAAATTAATATTAAGAAATTTGTGTCACATTTAATTTTAATTACCGTTTAAAATATTATGAACCACTAGTGGCACAACTTTTCCTGCATAGGAATCGCCAGCAATATACAGAGGATTTGAAAGGAATTGCTGGTGGTCTATAAGCCACTGAAAATTAAGAAACAGAGAGTTCAATCATGAATACATAATTCATAAACTAAAAACAGTATATAATTCAATTTCTTTGCCAACCTTTCTGAGAAATATCATTGCAAGTTTTGACGAAGATTTGTCGCCAGATTCATAACCTTGTGGATGATTGGAAAAAGAGAATCCAGCTCCGACTGGGGAGTCCAGAAATATTATGTTTGAAATCTACAAATTAATAAAACGAAATGAAGAACCACACATTATTGAAATTAAATCATATAAATATTGTTATGTATCTACGTCTATTATTGAGCAGATAGATGGCTCACCTTGGTCCAGGAGTAAGGGTGATAAACTAAATTTGGCAAGCTCCCGTTGTACCTTTCTGATATGAATTTTAATGGGCCTTCATAATAATAATAATTTTTGTATTTTTAAGATATGTCTACATTGAAAACATCAAAGCAAACAGCCCAATCTATAATGAAACAAATAGTCATAATGCAAAGATCACAGACAAATTTCATATAAGAAGAAGAGAAACAGACCGATCTCGAGAGAAAGGCCATTAAAAGCAGAGCAGCCAGGTCCCCCACTAAGCCATACGAGGAGTGGATCCTCACTCGGGTTTCTTTCAGACTCTATGAAATAGTAGAATAACTCCACACCATAAACTTCATCCACTTCTATATAGCTGAAGACAAGCACACATAATTATTAATTAGTTAGACTCAAGCTAGATTGATTTAAAAAAAATAAGGAGAGAAAAAACAAACCCAGTTTCTAAATGGAAAGGTAAAGCACCCTGCTGCAATAAGCCTGGGAGATGAGTAACTTTGAATGCGGCTGAGGAAAAAAGAAACCATCTGAAGATGCAAAGGAAGAAGAGAAATAACCGCATAATGGAAGGATGGGAATAATTAGCTGTAAGCATAGGGAAGAGTTTAGAGATGAATTTAGAGATGAATGTTGAAGATGCTAGAGATATCTCAGAGATAAAACATTTCAGATTAGAAGTAGATGGAGGTCACTATAGGCATTTATGTATTTTGGAGAAATTTAGGACAGTTTGGGTAAACTCGTACCACAATTTGATGATTGTTTTTAAAGATGGATGCTGACATGACCAAAATATCAGTTTTTTTTTTTTATAATAAGTTTATATGTGACGCTCATAGTTTTTTATTTGAATTAATATAAATTTTTTCTAAATAATAAAAAGCAAAAGTTAGATTTATAGATATACATTTATAAAACTTATTTGTATACCAACCTAAACTCTTAATAGTAGAGATATTATTCATTTTGATCTCTGGCCTCATAATTTTATAATTTTTCAAGAGGTCATTTATTCTAAAAGTATTTAGATATGAGCAAACTTAATTTTAAAATTTTTAACAAAATTTTAATAATTATATCAAAAATTATCTTTATATCTAAGATTTTAGTTTTATTTTTATTCAACTTTAATTTCATTAATACATTATAATGCTTGATATATCACAAAAATAATTATCTTGATCAGACACAAATCTCAAGGCATATCAATCCAAGAAAGTTTCGGGATTAAAATAGAAAACATCCAAGCTTCGATTTCAACGTACTTATAGTCGAAGTGAACATCTCGAAGAGACAAACTCAAAGACAAAAAAATCAATCCAATCCGAGCCCAAATAAGTTCAAATCAAGGGTCCAAAGCATACATGAGGCTTCAAAATATTAATTGGATAACTAAATGATCATCAAGTATGACATGCTTATACGAGAATCGAATGGTTCGACAAGACTAATTCGACGAGCCCAAGATCATCAAATTCTGATATCCTTAAGCCACTTAAATTCTAAATCAACAGTCTATGATCGAGGGAGTCGATATAGGCCGCCCACTTAAAACACTCATGACTTGACCTTGATCTTCTCCATATTTACAAGTCATTTCACTATCAAAAAATTATAAATATGCTCACCTTCTTCCACCACCGACGTTCTTCCCAACCACCGATGTCCTTCTCCATTGACGATGTTCTTCCTAAACACCGGTTCTTACCAATTTTGGATTTCTTCTCAACAACCATCAAAATTCTTCTGGACTATCATCATGCTTTTACACTAGTCCACAATAATGATAACAAATTTAAATTAGTTGAAGAGAATTTCCTTTAAAGTGTCGGACAAAAAGGGCTAAAGGAACCATATGCTTTATGTAGAAATCATTGAATAGAACATTGTAGCATGATGTTGTTTTGTCCACCATCCTATCTACACCTTGCTCATTGCCTAGTTTGATATTGGTTGCTGTAGATAATTGATCTCGTTTGTTTAAAATATATATATATATATATATATATATATATGAGAAATTATTTTGTTAATAAACATGAAATTATGCGATAGATATCATGAGGAAAAAATGAATGATTATATTAGATAGTTGACAACCAGCAAAAACTTATGGAACGACCATGCTATGAATCTTTTTTTACATTTATAAGAAAAAAAAAGACATTTGAATAAAATTGTCTCCCGCAATAATACATCATTAATGCAAAAGCCAAAAAGAGATGTGTTTGAATTTACACACCCGTGCCATAATAAAAATTGTTTTATATGTAACAGAAGATATTTATATCATTACATAAATAGTTTTAACATTGTTAATTGACCACAACTATTTGGACGCTTCTCCTCCTTTATTGCTTAAATGATATTTTTCATGGCTCTCATAAAGGACAAGCCAAAAACTCAACTCTTATGAAACCAACGCTTACCTAATGGCTCCAATCAATCATAATTATTAATGCAACCCTTCGCAACAATTGCAATGCTATAGGACCTGAAGGAAGATGCAGCAAGAGAACAAAACAGAACACTAGTCCTGTGAAGAAGAAACCATATTTCTGTATTAGAGAGAAAAAAAAAACAGTCTACCCTAATTCTCCTGTGTTTTCCTATATGTATTATACTCTTTTCCATAACAGCATAAAGTAACTATTATGTCTAATAGTACGGTCTAAACAGAAATAGTAAAAAGGGTAGTGGAGAGTGAGTAGTTAGTTAGGGACGGTGAGATACTCCCCCCCAGTAACCTGCACCACATCAGTCCTCCCCATCTTTGGAAAAGCTCGACTCCGACGAGCTTATGGCAACCACAGTGTCATCCGGAGGTGTATATTCCCAAATGTCTGCTACATTGAAAGTAGGAATTGTGTTGCAGTCGGGTGGCAGTGCAGCTGTGTAGGCATTATCATTATCTTTGAAATAATAGGGATAGGTCCAATCTTGCGACGGGCTAGTTTCGAATAAGATCTCGGCGTGAATCGCTCACGTCGTAGGCGCACCATGACCAAGTCGCCTACATTCAGCAATTTTTGTCTCTCATGAGCATCATCAACTTCCTTGTAGTGTTGATTGGCCTTAATAATTTGGTGACGAACGTTCTCCAACATCTCCGTATAGCGCCCCATGAAGGAAGCGGCGGCCGCCGATTTGCACTTCGGTAGCACAGTAAGATCAAGAGCGATGTTAGGTGCCTTGGTATAGACAATGCTAAAAGGTGGTTTACCAGTGGATCTATTCGTCATTGCATTATAAGCAAATTCAGCTTTAGCTAAGACTTCCTCCCATTGTCTCGGGTGCTCCTGTACAAGGCATCTCAACATATTACCCAAGGTTCGATTAACAACCTTAGTTTGGCCGTCGGTTTTAGGATGATATGCTGAACTCAGGCGAATGTCCGTGCCCAGTCTCTTCCACATCTCTTGCCAATAATGGTTTATGAATTTCACACCGCGGTCGGATGTGAGACTCCTCGGCAACCCATGCAACCTGACAATTTCATTAAAGAAAAGATTGGCAATATGCATAGTGTTTGCGGTTTTCTTACATGAAATGAAGTTAGCCATCTTCGAAAATCGATCGATGACCACCAAGATGGAGTCGTTTTCGTGCTTGGTCCTCGGTAAGCCCAAAATAAAGTCCAAACTAAGATCTTCCCATATGGAATCCGGTACTGGCAAAGGCATATACAAGCCTGTGTTTTGAGCTCCTCCTTTGTATTGTTAGCAAATTTGACAACTGTCGACTAGTCGGAAGAAATCCCGTCACAAGCAAGGCAAAAAAGAAACGATCCTGCAACACCCGTAAGGTGTTTTCCCTGCCTGTATGAGCTGCCAAACCACCCCCATGCGCTTCACGTACCAACTGTTGTCTCCAGGACGATACAGGAATACAGAGTCGATTTTTCTTGAATAGATATCCATGCCTTATAACATACTCCTTGTTGTTTTCATCACTTTGGCATTGCAGCCAAATGTTGCCAGAGTCTGGGTCTTCACTATACAAGTCTTTAAGACACTCCAAACCGATAATCTCACTTTATAATTGAACAAGAAGACTCCTTTTGTGACTGAGGGCGTCAGCCACACGGTTGTTAATTAGTGCCCGATTTGTGCTTAATACTGAATGAAAACCTTTGTAAAAATATAAGCCAACGGACATGCATTATATTAACCAATTTTTGGATATTAATAAATTGTAGTGCCTTATTGTCACTACATAATATGAATTCCTGGTGCAACAAATATTGCTCCCATTATTTAAGCGCCCGAACTATCGCATATAGCTCTTGTTCATAAGCTGACCACTTTTGCCTTGCGGGACAAAGTTTTTCGCTAAAATATGCGACTGGTCTACCATCTTGCGATAGAACCACTCCCACGCCAATTGATGAAGCATCTGTATCGACTGTGAATAACTTATCAAATTGCGGTAGGACTAGAACTGGAGCTGAACTTAATGCTTGTTGTATTGCCTCAAAGCTTTGCTATTTTCGGCGTGCCAAAAAATTTTTTTTTTTATTTAAGACAGTCGGTAATGGGAGCTAGGATCATACTGAAATTTTTGATGAATTTCCTATAAAAATTAGCTAGGCCATGGAAGCTCCTTACTTCAAAAAAGTATTTGGGTGTCGGCCACTCTACAACTGTAGAAATTTTCTTTTGATCCAATGACAAGCCATCTGCTGAGATCATAAAGCCTAAGAAATAGACTTTGTCTACAGCAATTTCACACTTTAACCTTTGTTCTTGTAACACTTTAAAGAGACTTCTCAAATGCTTTAAGTGTTGATGACAGTCATTACTATATACTAAGATATCATAAAAATAGACAATGTAGGACTTACCCAAGAACGGTCGGAGAATTTCGGTCATGATTCTCATGAATGTAGAACCTATTGATTAACACTCTACATATTTTTGATCCAATTTGACCAAAAATTAACTAAGGGGTTAAAATGACCAAAATACCATTTTAAAGGGTTTTTGGACTTTCCCCTTAAGCTCAATCCAACCCTCAAAACCAATTCCAATGGAACCTAAACACCATTAGGAACACATTGGACCCAAACCCACACTTTGGTTTGACCTGGTTGATCAAGTCAACCATGGTTGACTAAGGTGCTCCCTTAGGGATCAAATGACCATTTCAAACCAAATGCCCTCTTCTTGGCATATGACCACTCCCATTGAGTTCATGTGATCAAATTTAATTCAATGGACCCAACTCTTGGTCCTAGGTCAACTTGGTTGACCAAGTCAACCAAGTTTGACCAAACCTCCCATACACCCCTATTCATTCAAACCCTTTGACTAAAACCATCTCAATCCCATTTAGACCCATGGGGTGACCCCTAAGGTCTCTAAGAAACCCCCCTCTTGGAGACCCAAGCCATGGGATCATTTGGGTTAGCCATTTGGCTTGACCCAAGTGACCAAAGAGAGGCTCCCCTTGAGCCATTTTTCAATCCTAGCCCAATTAAACCCATCTAATGGTGACATTGGGTCTCCCTTGACCCAATGCATCTTCCCTAGCCAGACCAAGTCTTGGGTCAACTTGGGTCAAGATTTAGGCTAACCAAAAGTTTCCAAATCCACTTGGGATTGAGCCAACTCCCACCCTAAGCTCAATTGAACCTATCCAACACCTCCACTAGGTGTCCTTAGGTCCAACACATCTTCCCTAGCCAGCCCAGCCCATGGGTTGACTTGGGTCAACATCTAAG